AGTCTAAAGGTTTAACATGCAGTATGATAACTGTAGTTCATAATATTGTATTATATTTTAGAATTAGCTAAGAGTAGATGTTAGCAATCTTATTAAATGCAAAAAAGTAGCCATGTGAGTTGATGTGTTTTGAATATAATCATATATGTATATGTGACTACATATATATGAATATAATATACTAATCATATATATTTTAATATAATCATGTATATGCTTATATGACTATATTCATATATACATATATACATATCAGGGTACACAACTTAAATTCACATAATAAAATCTTTTTAATTAAAATATTTTAAATAATGAAACATCACACTCACTAGAATGGCTAACACATGACCCAGATATTCTAGTCTTTTTCCAAAAAGAAATGAGAATATATATTCACAAATTACTTGTATATGAAAATTCATAGCAGATTTATTCATAACAGCATATATTGGAAACCACCCAACCATCTTCTGCTGCATAACAAATTCTCTCCAAAATTTAGTGGCTTCAAACAATATAATTTTGTTGTCTCACAATGTCAGCCGGTTTCTGGGGAGATGACCTCACAGTTTTTTGGGTTTTTTTAGAAAGAGTTTTTAATGTTTATTTTTTAGTTTTCGGCAGATACTGAAAGGTCAATAAAATAGGTACTTGTCACTCTGTTTTTCTATATGCTTAACAAAACACTGTTGAAATCTTGTTCCCAGGATGTGTTGTCCCCAACTGTGAACTGTTTGCTAATCTTGTTCCCAGAATGTGCTGTCCCCAACTGCCAAACTGCAGGATGCACTCCCTCACTCGGTTGCAGGCAAACTGCCCACTCGCTCTGACCTGGCAATGAACTTCCCTCCCTGCCCTCTCCAAGAAAAGTATATAAGCTCTGCTCAAGCTGTTCTCAGGGCTCTCTTTGCTAAGGTGAGCTCTGAGCCCCAGCATGCTGGTCCCCAAATAAACCCTTTTGCTGTTGCACGAGGCAGTCTCTTGGTAGTCTCTTCCTCCGACATTTCGCCAGTCCCTTACAATGCAACATCTTTGTTTGTATGTGGTGCTGAGGATTGAACCTGGGCTGCACGCATGCCAGGCGAGCGCGCTACCGCTTGAGCCACATCCCCAGCCCGACCTCACAGTTTCTATGCAAGTCACAATGGTACTTATGACCTACTCTTGGATGTCACGCTCCATCATTTCTGCCACATTCTGTTTGTTAAAGTGAGTCACTAGGTACAGCTCACATTCAAAGGGATGAGAAGGAGGAATATCAGAAAATTGGAGAATTTAAAACTACAGACTCAAGTATCCAACAACAGGAGAATGAACGAAAAAAATTGTGATATAATTAACCAACAGAATACCTCTCAGGAATAAAAACAAATGGTATGGACTAATGATTCACAAAGCAACATGGATGAATGTTGGCAATGTTGTGCAGAGTGTAAGAAATCAAACACAGAGGAGCATGTATATATTGAATGGATCTTTCTGTGACGTTCTAGGAGGATAAAAACAACCTAAAGTGACACAAATCAAAGCTATGGTTGCCAAGAGCACAGATGGACAGAATTATTGTAAATTGGTATAAAGAATTTTCTGGAGTAAGGCAAATGTTCTACATCTTCACTAGAGTGGTGGTTGTCTGTATATACACAGTTGTCAAATCTCAGTAAACTGAACATTAAAATACGCAAATTTTATTATGTAAACTATATCTGTGTTATGTAAGAATAGAAAGGAAATAAACCAACTCAGGAGGTATTGAATGTACATTAGAGGCATGAGAGGAAAAACTGGAAACAGAGAGGGACACTCAGAAGGTAGGTAAGGAGACAATGGTGCCCTTGTACTCCCCAGTGGCAGAGCAACAGAGGGAGTGGCCTTTTAATTAGCCACAGGGAGCATCTCACTGGCACTTTTCCTCTGAATCTTCTCCTCCCTTCTTAGTCATCATTAGTGCCATGAACTAATTAATTGGCTGTGGGCAGTGGGGCGCCTCATTTTGGCAGAATTGCTGAGCTGTTTCTCCCCAGGGCATGGGAGTCCTGGGATCCCTCCCTTCACAAGCTCACCATGCCTCCCTTTCCACCTCCAGTCCCAGTAGAAGGGAAGTTAGCTACTGGATTGAAGGAAAGGGCTTGTCATCAAAGAGCTCCACAGTAAAGAGCTGCCTCTGGCTGGCACTTGGGCTGAGGGGTGGGGGGCACATAGTTAGTGTGCAGCCTCTTCAACCCCACAGGGACTCAGCCCAGCTCTGGTGCTGCCTAGCTACACTTTCCAGAACAAGCTATTTCTCTGTGTGCCTTCACTCTTTTATCTGAAATGGAGGATAATAATAGTAAGAAGCAGTGAACATAAAGTGCCCAGGGAAATAAACACTAGCAATCATGACTCTTCCCCCAAATCTAAGCTCTACTCAGTATCAAGGGTGTGATATTCCTGTAAAGTTTGCTTTTATTTCTCATTGTGAGAATCAAGTGAAGAAGCCAACCAGTCCAGAAACTATCTCCTTGTACCAGGAAGTTCTCACAGGAAGGTGATAAGGAGATTGTCTTTAATCACAAGTAAGTTTCAAATTTATTCTCCTACAGCAAATGTACTCAATAGTGTTGGTATCAAACAGAATGCAGGATCCTTAATGGCTGGGTAACTTTCAGCAAGTTACTTCACCCCTCTGAGACTGTTTCTTGTGTGAAGGAGGAATGATAATGTTAGTTAGCTTTCAGGGTTGTGAGAACCAAAAATTCTAGAAAATCATTCAGCACAGTGTCTGGTATTCAGGAAGCACTTAACAAATAGTAACTGTTAAAATAATAGGAGGTCATCATTATGGGATTATAGAGCAGAATTTATACCTCATTACCTTGCAGCAGATAGTTCATGGCTGACTCTCTGGTAACCAATAAGGGAATGAATGAATGCACATGTGTGTGAAATTAACACGAAAAGTAGTGCTTGCTTTATATTAGTGCCAGAAAGAAGGATCATGTAGAAATAAGAAATAACTAGGTCAAAGAAAGATACAAATTGAAGAGATTCTGAAAAAGTACAAAGCAAGAAGTTGTCAAGAGAGCAAGAATGTGAAAAATGATTAAGTTCAAGGATTAGTAAAATTGGTAGGCAGTTGCTGAGATAGAAAAGATAAGGCCCTGTGAAGTTTAAAAGGAATAACTAAACAAAACTAATGACTAAAAGTAATGGGAGCAGTGTTTCCATCTCCAGAGGGAAAAAAAGCGATGTTATCAGTGCCTAGAAAACTCCTGAGGTTCTGGTAACATTTCTTGTGTTCTTAAATTGGTGCAGGGGTGGGGGGAATACTGAGACACCATGTGTTCATTTTATTATTTCATACAATCCATAGGTATGTGTTAGATGCACTTTTGTTTATAAAGTTAGTTTTTTATTGTTGTTGTTTTGGTACTGAGGATTGAACCTAAGGGGTTTAACCACTGAGCCACATCCCCAACCCTTTTAATATTTTGTCTTGAGATAGGCTCTCACTAATTACTTAGGGCCTCTCTAAGTTGCTGAGGCTGGCTTTGAACTCACGATCCTCCTGCCTCAACCTCTAGAGCTGCTGAGATTACAAGGGTGTGCCATTGTGCCCACTGGATAATTACTCTTTAAAAAGGGATACAAATCTTATCTGAGAGAGGAAGAGCAATGATGAAGGAAGGAAAATAGAAGACCAGAAAGAGGAGATCTGCACAAAAATGGAAATGAAAGGTGTCTTTTAACACAGAATGGATACCCCAGGATGGGGAGGTGAGCATGCCATGCCACAAACTCCCAGGGCACTTTCACCAGACCTCTCTTCCCTCAGTGGTCTTCCTAAGATTGTCTGTGCTCAGAAGACCCTCAGCTCCCGCCTCTTAATTGCCAGGGAGGCTGCCATCCCACCCCTGTCTTTGAGCTTACCATCTATGTCCCACATGGCAAAAATTTATGTCCTCTTCTCCCAAAAGCTTTCTTGGACACATACACCCAGATACCTCTTTCACTATGAAGACATTTGCCTTCAGTTCTGGAAGTCAACAGTTTTCATGATTCCCCAATGTTTACTAAGTACATGAGGCCACACTCCTACAGCCTCTCAGTTTCTCATGGTGGTTGCTGAATGCATCAAACTGCCCTTTAAGGCTCAATGTCTCTGTGACTAAGGAAAGGCTACTACAGAAGCCATGGTTAGGCATACAGGATATAGACTGAATTCTCCATGAAAAATTTTTCTATAAAGATCATTATTGGTAAAATTATGGAAATAATCTACAGACTAAATATTAGTTTTTATCATTGTTGGATTTTCTAAATTTAGTAACTGTTCATTTTGCAAAGAAGAATATTTATTTTCTTAGAAATGTGAATTAGTAAGCAGGCATTATATGCTACCCACTCCATAGCTCATAATAAATATAAATACATATACAAATAAAAAATGGAATGATAAAAATTGACAAATATTAATAAGTTATTAATATAGGTAAAGGAGATTCAAAAGGTTTTTAGAGTATTCTTGAAAATTTTCTGTAACTTTGAGTTTTTATATGAAAATGTTTTCAATTCCAAATAGTGAAATTAAGGCAGCATTAAAATTCCAATTTCTATGTAAATATTTCAATAGTAACTTAGTTTATTTTGCTTCTGATATAATCTTATATGAAATGGAAAAAAATATATATATACATATAAATGTGTTTATATGTGTTTGTGTGTGTGTGTGTGTGTACTCTGCCTCTGATTAGTTCTCCCACAATCAAGAATAAAGTAGATAAAATGTGAATAGTTCTAAAAAATTTATAACCCCAAATAGAAAATAATCTCGAATAGATATGTTTCATAGAGAAATTCTAACAAAAGATTTCTTTGCTAATTTTTCTTAGATAAACATAATGGAATACTCAGAGAACTATGGTAGTATTCAGGACAAAATGGATATTAAATGTGTTATTGTTCAAAGGTAGTTAATTAAACCATATTTCATTTCAACTTTCTTTGCCCTCAACCAGAAAGCCAGAGACACCAGTGTGAGGTTCCATCCATTATCCAGAACATTCCTGGTTTTGCACTGCCACTAAACAACATTTGGCCATAGGGAGCAAGAAAAGGGGAAGCAACACTGGGTGGTGGTGTGCCTGGAAGAACAGCGGAGGGAGAGGAAGTTCCACATGGCAGGAATGAAAAGCACTTTACATTAACTGTCACTTTGAGCTGACAGGCTCAGTGCTTCAGTTCTGAGTAACAACAAGCCATGGTCAACCAAAGCTCCCAAGTGGGATTCCTCCTTCTGGGCTTCTCTGAATACCCAGAGCTGGAAAGGATTCTCTTTGTGGTTGTCTTAACTTCCTACCTCCTCACCCTGGTGGGCAACACACTCATCATCCTGCTGTCGGTGCTGGACCCCAGGCTCCACTCTCCAATGTACTTCTTCCTCTCCAACCTCTCCTTCTTGGACCTCTGCTTCACCACATGTTGTGTCCCCCAGATGCTGGTCAACCTCTGGGGCCCCAAGACCATCAGCTTCCTGGGCTGCTTCATCCAGCTCTTCATTTTCATGTCCCTGGGGACCACTGAATGCATCCTCCTGACAGTGATGGCCTTTGATCGCTATGTGGCTGTCTGCCAGCCCCTCCACTATGCCACCATCATCCACCCCCGCCTGTGCCTGCAGCTGGCAGCTGTGGCCTGGGTTTTGGGTCTGACCCAATCCATAGTCCAGACACCACCCACTCTCCTCCTGCCCTTCTGTCCCCACCGGCAGATAGATGACTTTTTGTGTGAAGTTCCTTCTCTGATTAGACTATCCTGTGGAGACACCACCTACAATGAAATCCAGTTAGTTGTGTCCAGTTTCTTCATCCTGGTTGTTCCTCTCAGCCTTGTTCTTGTCTCTTATGGTGCCATTGCCCGGGCAGTACTGAGGATTAACTCTGCCCAAGCATGGAAAAGAGCTTTAGGGACCTGCTCCTCCCACCTCATGGTTGTCACTATCTTCTACAGCTCAGTCATTGCTGTCTACCTCCAGCCCCAAAATCCTTATGCCCAAAAGAGGGGCAAGTTCTTTGGCCTCTTCTATGCAGTGGGCACTCCTTCACTTAACCCACTCATATACACCCTGAGGAACAAGGAGGTAAAGAGGGCATTCAGGAGGTTACTGGGGAAAGATGGGGAATCCAGGGAGAACTGAGGGAAAACTGTTTGATATATTCCTAATCAAGAAGAGTTTATTCATGATTTGTAAAAATGTTGAGCTCCCCAGGCTACACAACTGAGCCTCTATAGTGTGTCAGCATGATTATGTGGTATCTAAGAGAGAGAGACATCCCGTTAAGATATCCACTCATTTATTGAAGGACATCTAGGTTGGTTTCACAGTTTAGTTATTGTGGAATGTGCTGTTATAAACATTGATGTGGCTGTGTCCCTATAGTATGCTGTTTTTAAGTCTTTTGGGTATAGTCCGAAGAGAGGGGTAGCTGGGTCAAATGGTGTTTCCATTCCCAGTTTTCCAAGAAATCTCCATACTGCGTTCCATATTGGCTTCACCAATTTGCAGTCCTACCAGCTGTGTATGAGTGTACCTTTTTCCTCACATCCTTGCCAACATTTACTGTTGTGTGTCTTCATAAGAGCTGCCATTCTGACTGGAGGGAGATGAAATCTTAGAATGGTTTTGATTTGCATTTCTCTAATTGCTAGTGATGATGAACATTTTTTTTATATATTTGTTGATTGTATATCATCTTCTGAGAAGTGTCTGTTCAGGTCCTTGGCCCATTTATTGATTGGGTTATTTGGGTTTTTGGTGCTTAGCTTTTTGAGTTCTTTATGTACCCTAGAGATTAGTGCTCTACCTGATTTGTGAGGGATAAAGATTTGCTCCCAACATGTAGGCTTTCTATTCACCTCACAGATTGTTTCTTTTGCTGAGAAGAAACTTTTTAGTTTGAGTTCATCCCATTTATTGGTTCTTGATTTTAATTCTTGTACCACAGGAGTCTTATTAAGGAAGTTGGGTCCTAATCCCACATGATGGAGATTAGGGCCTACATTTTCTTCTATTAGACACAGAGTCTCTGGTTTTATTCCTAATCCTTGATCCATTTTGAGTTGAGTTTTGTGCATGGTGAGGGGTTTGATTTCATTTTGTTGCATATATACACAATGGAATATTACTCAGCAATAAAAGAGAATAAAATCATGGCATTTGCAGGTAAATGGATGGAGTTAGAGAAGGTAATACTAAGTGAAGTTAGCCAATCCCAAAAAAACAATGCCTAATATTTTCTCTGATATAGGGAGGCTGATTTATAGTGGGAAAGGAAAAGGGAGCATGGGAGGAATAAATGAACCCTAGATAGGACAGAGGGGTTGAAAGGGAAGGGAGGGGCCATGGGGTTATAAATGATGGTGGAATGTGATGATTATTATTATCCAAAGTACAGGTATGAAAATACAAATTGATGTGAATATACTTTGTATACAACCATAGATATGAAAAATTGTGCTCTACATGTGTAATAAGAATTGTAATGCATCCTGCTGTCATATATAAATGTAAAAATAAAGAAAGAAAGAAAAGATATCACTGTTATGGCACACAACTGTAATCCCAGCAACTCAGGAGTCTGCAGTGGAGGATAGCAAGATTGATGTCAGCCTCAGTAACTTCACAAAACCCCATTTCAAAATAAAACATAAAAAGGTCTGGTGATGTTTCTCAGTGATTAAGCACCCCTGGGTGCAATTCCCATTACCAAAAAAAATGAAAACAGAAAAAAAAGATATCTCCATAAAACATGTTAAATTCAAGCATTAACATTTCTGTCAATATTTCCTCTCTTCTCCATCCTGTCTTTACTGCCCTCACTTCGACAGATTTCCTAACTCTGTAGTGCCCATTTCTGGCTGTATCATCTCTCTTCACTTATCATGTCAGTGTAGGAGAACTAGTCCACCATTGCATTTCAGAGCTTTGCACCTTTCTACATGGGCCATGCAAGCAAAGGCCTGAGCCACAGTTACTCTGACACTTGAAAGGATGCCTACTGATCCTCACAGATTATGGAAGGATTGTTAGGACTTGCCTCAAGACCATCTCTTATTCTCTTCCTTATACCCTCAGAAGCATGTCACGTTATTGCCTCCCAAGTTATGATGAAGCATGAGGTATGCTGCTCTATATTATTAAGATCAGGTGCAAAATTTCATGAGGTTTAGCTGTAGTCTAGACTTGTTTCCTCATCAATGGGGTATCCCACAAAAGTGTTGCAGCCACCTGGCCACTTTGGTTTCAATGCCCTTTTTGGTGTGTGGCACAAGGACCAAGGGAGCTGGTACCTTTGGATTTTCCTCCTTTTCATTTGTATGTAAATAACAAACTGTCTAATTTTAAAGTGGCTCCTTATATCTTTATTGGTCAAATTGATCAGGTGTTAGCCTTCATTGTATGGGAGTGTCTAACAATCATCAACAACACTCTATCCTTATTTCTGGTTCCTACCATGTTGTCTCAGTCTTATTTGATCTGCTATATCAAAATATTACAAACTTGATAGCATATAAACAACAGAAATTAATTTCTCAAAGTTCTAGAGGCTGTGATGTTCAAGACTAAGATTCATACATAGTGAAGGCCCATTTTCTAACTTATAGATGGTGGCTTCTTGCTGTGTTTTTACACAGTGAAAGGGGCTAGCCAGGGGGCTTTATGATAAGGTCACTGATACCAATTATGAGGGGTTTTCCTTCAGGAACTAATCACCACTCAAAGACTCCACGTGCTGCATAATGATGTTCAGATCAACAATGGACCACATATATGATAGTGATTCTATAGATTATATCTCTGAGTGATGTGGTAGTCATCTTACTTTGTGTAAGTAACTCTATGATATTCACACAATGATGAAATCACCTAATGATTCATTTCTCTGAATATATTCCCATTGTTTAGCAACATATTATTGGTTGGGTGTTTTGGTTTTGGGTACCAGGATTAAACCTAGGGGCATTTAACCACTGGGCCACATCCCCAGCCTGTTTTACTTTGCATTTTGCAACAGGTCTCAGTAATTACTTAGGGCCTCCCTAAGGTGAGGCTGGCTTTCAACTTGGGATCCTCCTGCCTTAGCCTTCTGAGCCACTGGGATTATAGGCATGTGCCACCACATGCAGCATATTACTGTATCTTAATTACAGTATTTCCTCCCTTTTACACCAAGGAGCACAGAACAACAAAGGAATCATCATATAATCTTAATGTTCTAACAAGATGTTGCAATGGGGACTTTGTTACTATCAGATGACCACACAATATAGAGCATGGGGAAATTCTTCTCCTGGGTAAAGAGTCTCTGTAATCAAAGTATCTGGGTTTGCAGGTTATAAACCATAAGCCAGAAGAAAGTGAACCACCTTTTCCTCCACTGCCACTATACCCTTGGGGAGTCACCATCAATGTAGTGGTATATCAAGAAAAGCTAACTGACTTTTTATTATTTTGTAATCTATCATAATTTCTGTCCATTATGCCATAGCTAGAGGAGGTGTCTCTGTCCCCTATCACCTGACTCCACCAGAAACATGGGTAACTACTAATCATGAGATTTACACCCTCACGTGGGGATCCACCTTCAGGTGGATGGTCTCCTCCTTATCATGACATTGTTGTGAAATTAGGATCTTGGAACCCAGAAGAAGGACCTGCTCCTCCAGACACACTTACTGATCTTTTCCCAGGTTTGCAGCAAAATCCATTACTCACATTCCTCAGAATCAACATTTATCTTGGCAATTTTATATATAGTTGAAATATTATTGAGAAATTAAGGTGGAATAAAGATATTCTCTGTGAAAGAAGATGAAGAGGATTTATCACCAGCAGACCTACTCTAAGAGAAAAGTTAAAGAAAATTCTTAAGACAAAGAGAATTGAAACCGGAGAGAAAGAAACTTTCAATATCACAAATAAAGGGAAAACACTTGAAATTAATAGTATTTGGGTAAATAAAGTAATTTACTAATCTTTGGGGGGTTCTTTAAAATAAACATCATTTTTAGAACCAAAAAGAACAAACCTGATGGGGTGTCAATGTAAATATAGGTGATACATATGAGAATAAAGTAATGACAATAAAGGCATCTATTTGGTAATGAGACTTTCATACTCCATATGAAGTTTTGGACTATTAATTCTAAGTAAACTATGAAAAATTAAGTATTTATATTGAAATTCCAACAGCATCTAATAAAATAAAAAATATACAGTGTCATCAGCAAAAATGACAGAAGACCTCCAAAAATTATCTCCTCCATAAAAGCAAAATGAACCCCCCAAAACTATAAGAAATAATATTTTCCAGAACCCCCCAAAATTAACCAGACTTGCCAAAACCTGGGGAGATTTTAAGAATTATGGTTAATATCATTAACAACAGTGATGCCTTATCCCATTTCTCCCTTCCCAACTCCACAGTAAGTGAAAACCAACAGCCCACCACCATCTTAGCAAAAAGTAGCAAACGGGTAGTCCCTGGAGAAGGCACAAAAGAATTAGAGATCCTTCCACACCTAGTTTCTAGAAAACTCATTGTTTTAACTTGCCTGGTTGTTCCCTGGAACTCACAAAGCTGTTTTTACTTGACCTGACTCTGAGTTAGCCTGGAAAAAACAGCCTTTTTCCTGTAGATAATTACTGAAAAGAATCCTAGGCAATTGTTGACCATAATGGATGCCTGTGGTGGTAGATAAAAGTTGATACAAACAGTATGCCAACCAAGAAGATTAAACCAAATATCAGGGAATAAGATGCCCATAGGGAGCCTTGAAAAGCTCTAACACACCCCAGGAACTCCAAAAGGCCACAGGTATGACAGGCTATGGGAATGGTAAGAGTGGTGTGCATGCACTGCTCAGACATGAAAGGGCCTTAAACTCTAAGTTTGAGGCACTGCTCAGACAGGAAGTGAAATCCAAGACAGATGTAAACTGCCTGAGTTTTGAGTACATGTCACAGCATGTGCACAGAGCACTGAAAGACTAATTGCTTCCAGCAATCTAAGAAAATCTTTGTCTAAAGCTAATCAAACAGAGACTTCAATGACCTTCTAAAACAAGAATATAGACTTTACAGATAATTCTGAAAACTCACTAAACAAACAACATAAATAACAAAATTAGGGAACAGAAAAAATATGACTTTCAGAGTTGCCACATTATGTTATTTAAATGTTGTTTTCAACAACAACAACAAAATGTCACACAGAGAAACAATTCAGTTGGGTGTGATGGCACATGCCTATAATTCCAGTAACTCAGGAGTCTGAGGCAGGAGGATCAAAAGTTTGAGGTCAGAATGAGTAACTTAGTGAGATCCTGTCTCAAAAAAATGTAAAGGGC